GGTAGCCATTCGCTCTCGGTACCCGTCGAAGATGTTGTAATTCTTATAGCTGGCAGTCGGGCTCTGAATTGAGCCCTAAGGCGCAACTGAAATAACATGTCTCCCAACTAGATCGGTGAATATCCCTCCACCATATGTAATGTTCCCGATACTTACCTACAAGACAATCAACCCGAGGCTCATTGATAAATCTTTTGACTGCTCAAGACACAATGACAAAGAACTGGCTGACGATAGCTAACACAATGACAAAGAACTGGCTGACGACAGCCAATAAGTCAGAAAAGGCCATCACAGCCTCCCTTGTCTTTATCGGTACTCCCCTGCTCTAGATAAGGGTAACCACGGCGGGATCCTTGAGGGCTGGCCATACACACAGGCCTTCGTCCGGTGGCACACTGACTGAACTGACGTGAGCATCACACTGTTACCACCAACGCTGAAATCGAGTTGGGTGGGTTAATACCAATTGTTTGAGGCTTGCTGTGTCCTTATTAATTCTACCGCAAACCTTCCCTCCCCCAACTGAGAAAATAAAAATAAACGCGCATGCACATAGCGCAGGTCGATTTGTCGACTTCCCCAAGCCAACAAATTTTGACTGAGTGGCAGAGGTCACGAAGGAGCAACCACCCCGGTTGCTGACCGAAAACATAACTATGTATATGTACTACAAGTCCTGCCCACCATAACTTATAAGAAATTTGTATTTTTTTTTATCTTGGCGGTTTTACTCTAGCTAGCCAGTTAACAGTTCTACCTCTCTGAATTTGATCCTGTTGTAACTTATTTTCACAGCTTTTCCTGCTCATCCAAACGGCCAGAGGAAGGATGGACTTCTAGTTGAATTAAGAATACGGGCTTGACAACGAAGTGTCAAGCGGAGGAGTGTACATTACGTTCCTAAATAAAGTCTTTCCTGTTTCCCGTCCTTTTCTCTTGCTTCTTGAACCCAGGCGCATAAGCACCGCCGTGGCCTTGACTTTTTGGTGTTGTTTGTTTTTTTCTGGTCCGTTTTATTTCCTTTTTGCATACTGCTCGATACACGGGACTGGAAGTAATTTAATATGGACTTTAATGAGTCGCTAGAATACCAACATTTGTTTATTTTCGCTGTGCAATGTAACCATATTGTTCTTATCGCTAGTCGTTCTCCTGGGGGTGGTTATGACCTGCAAGCTACCATGCTTAGTATTTTTACCGGTGCCTAATTTCTTGCTACAAGTATGAGAAATCGAAAACATAAATTGTGAATATTCCCTACTCGTTCTGACCGCCAGTTGTGTGACCAAACTCTGCTTTGGTTCTTGCTGCGTACCCATGCTTTTATCGTACCGGGCTGTCTAATAACTTCCCAAAACGGACCATGAAGCCCTAAACGGAAGATTTCTTACATCTCAACAACTGTTTGATTTGACGTCAGCTTGATTCCGTTTCGCCATTAGTACACGATTGGAGGAGACAGAATCCGCGATGTTAACCCAATACGGCCTCTTTTTCACCTGTTGTATGCGCTTTCAAACTGTCATTGCGTGCTAGGTCATGGCTTAAGTGTTGAACTGGCGGGATGGTTTGTGGCCAAGGTCTGGTCTGCAACACATAGGATTTCCTGCTGCAACTCGCCTTTTTGAAACCTGAATTCGCAAATCCTGTGGAGTGCGTAGATTGGGCGAATGTCAGACCGGCCACTGTGCTCGTGCCTACCTCCGGTCGTATTGATCCTTTAGGTATAATAGGAAAGAATGCTGCCTATTCCAGACAGTTCCTGACTGCGATCCGAAACAAGTTGTTTACGACGAATGAAATATGAAGCCGTTGGTGCGTGGAAGATAGATATTCCGAAAAGTGTTGCTAAGTTATTACAGGCTAACCCTGCGTCCAGGATGCCTTCAAAAAGTACCATATAATTATCGTCGGTCCAGTTCGCCTCGAGTCCTGAACCTCCTGGTAATCGGCGAACGCACTCCTCGGTAATATTTATTCGTGTTCTGCTTCTAAGCTTGGATGGATTTTTTCCGCTGGCTGATTTTACAACATTTAAGAGAGTGACCGATACCGACTTATTCTTTATTTTTATTTTTCAGATCGCCTGCAACTGCTATGAGAAATCTAGGAAAGTGTTACTTGGCCTGTTTTATTTTCCTGCAGTTGCTGCTCCAGTCATGCGCACAAGTAGACACTCTGAAATGTATCCTTTTTTAATTTTACTTCACTATTGGCTCCTGGTGTACATAAAGCGTCAGGACCTGTCGTAGGTTTCTCGCTCAAGAGTAGTCTGTGCCTAGATTGCAATTTCTACGCCTTTGTGACCAATTTACCTCACGAATATATTGTGATTCGGTGTTCCTTATTAAAACCCCCAGGTGCATATGAGTTCCCCTTTTCATAATCAATAAACCAGGTTTTTCTGTACTGGACGGTTAAGTTCGCCATATATGATCACCTGCTCTCGCTGAAACGCTTATGTAGTCATCCTGCCTGTTTACAGACTTTTTGCGAAACTTTAGAATCTAGTCGGTCCTAAAGCAACAGGGTTCTTTTTGACATCTTAATCTGTATTGGCTTCCTTTGTTGTCCGTCATCTACTGATTACTAAATAACGGCCAACGTCTACACAGTTTGCCAATGCAAGCAAACATCCGTGTCCCAGGAAGCAATTGAGAAGAAGAAGACTCGATCGCTGGGACAATATGTTTATTCGCCTATTGTCCCAGCGATCGAGTCTTCTTCTTCTCAGTCTACACAGTTCTTGGCCTTGTGTGCTGGCTATTCGGATGGCTGCGTACAACAGCGAGCTCTGATGTGACAAGTAAGCGGGACACCAGCGACTGAAGTTCAAAGGGAATCGCTGTGCTCTTTATGGGATCATCTACACCAGTAGCTTTATTGTGCCAACGCGTGTTTCCCTGAACGGTTTTAAAGGCAAATTATCGTCGTTTTGCCATCGTTGTGAAATATCTTAACTATCTGGGCAGTTCAGGGTAGGTGAACCCGTTTAACTCCTCATAAATCAGACTACTCGTACGCCCCGCCATTTTCCTTAACTTGCTTCACTTCAACAGTCAATCAGGCGATGTACAAAGCCAAACGGGAGGAGCATTTGGCTCACCTGATGAAGATCGCCCAGTTAGATGACGAAAGAACTATGATTGATCTGGTCACTCGACTTATCATTCAGATTTTAAAGGTTAGTGTTTTCTCACCTATTTGGACCATTACTGTTTACGCTGCCTATATTGAGCCTGTCTTCTTCAAAGCGAAAGACTTTTTGGCAAGACTGATTATAAAGGCCCCAAAAATCCCGTCGACTATTAATACAAATTTGCGAAAATTCCCGTTGAAAATTTCAGAAAATGAAATGGCGAACATACGTTTGTTTTCGATAATTCTCATCGGGCCTTTACATTTATATGGTAATTAAGTAAATAAACTATGCGGGTTGGTAGAAAAAAAGGAACGGTTGTCGGGGCAGGGGGAAAGGGGGACAAAATCTGATCAGCGTTAGGGGGGAACTGGTAGTCGGCTAAGGTGCTAAGCTGCTGGCTGTTGGATTAGCAGCTTTTGACTATGGTAACTGCGGCGCCGCGACGAACTTCTTTCGGGCGGACATGTTCAGTAGGCCGACTTTGCAATTTTGCGTTAAATTCTACCTACGTAAGGTTGAATCTCCCTTAATTGGCATTCGTAGCCTGCGTAACAGAAGTTCATGTTAATCGAATTTTATTCATTTTTAGCATATTAAAACAAACACAATCTTATTTAATTTTTTGATCACTTCCGCCACAGTTACCCATTAATTTAAGCTCACTAGCAAAGGATTAAAAGTTTGACCACAAAAAACGTTAAGCAGTTGGACGGGGGGATAGATATCAACCGGGCCCTACAAATCAGTTTTGCCGACTTTTTTAAGCATCCAGCCCACAAACCAGAGTGTTTCGTTTCCACTTAGAACTTTGGTGGATTTCGCCATGACAGTCTTAAACGTAGGTGCTCTATCGACGACATTTTCAATCATTGAGTCTACTGTAGGCGTCAGCCGCTACTTTTGTTCTATCCGTAACATATTTAATAGTCTAGATGTAAGTAGAAAGCGTGAGTACCCATTCCTCTATCCTCGGCAAGGACATGAGCTGTATCCCTTGTGTTTCACCAATAAGATACGACAGAGGTTAGTGACCGGTGTGTATCTCACTGAGTTAATGAAACAGCTTAAAGCGAAAACCCTGTACACTGAACATTATTGCAAAATCCACTTTACTTAATTGTGAAGGCCCGCTATAGTGTACTTGAACAGACATAATGTCCTGAGCTACGAATCTGAACTGACTTACTGATCCCGAACATAGCATACCATTGAAATGCGACGCTTCTTCATATGACGTCGGTTCGTTTTTCATGCACGGAATGCCTTCCGCCTATTTTTTTTTACATCTAAGATTATTTCATACCCATGATCAGGATGTTATGCTTAGCGTAATCGTGGGCAACAAAGTCCGAATCGATTCAATCTAATCGGTGTGCTTTCGGCCATAAGAGAAATGGTGTGGATAACAATGAGGCCATGTACCTTAGGCTGCGTCACCCGTGTTATTTACGCACAACGGAAGACTAGTTACGGGCAGGGCGTGTACTGGGCCCAGAAGACAACATAGATGGTAAGGCTTACGTGCTACTGGGGACAAGTGGGATAGAGGGACGTCGTAGACTGAAGGGTGACCAATCAACATCTAGGAGTTATGACCACGTGTGCGTGACTCGGCATGTTCACCTCATGTCATGTGGTGTCTAGAACCTCGTACGGACAACGCATATTGCAGATCGTAAACGATGGAATGACACCCCTAAATTGTTCTCACGTTCAAGGACCCGATTTCAATTGCGAAGGTTTTGAGAACCATATCAGCTATGCTCTCTGAGTGCTCTTTCGCCAGATTCTTCATCAAAATTTGTCGTCATTTCCCTCAGCGTCCGTGTGAGCTTGAATTCGTACAGAACTTGTCTTAACACCTAAGCTAACCTGGCATTACTGAGCAACCACTATCATTTATCGAACTAATCCCACGATCAAGTTCGGAAGTTATGAGACTTCGGCCTTGACCAAACGACAAACAGCCCACGCCGACTCTTCCCCTCCCATCCATCTTTTCTGTGCTAACGTCCGGTTTAAAAAATGGAGCATTCGTCGTGGTAGCTGCGAACTTATCTTTACTGCACGTTACCTTGGCTAGCATGTGTGTTGCATTGGCGACCACAATTCTGCTCCTGTACCTGTTCCACCCATGTTACGACCACGTGATAATTTTCTGTTCGTTTACCAATTATCAGTCCTCCAGCCTTGTCCCTACTGTCAGCGCACAATAAACCCCTATCATCCCCGTACTCTCTGATTGTGACTGTTGCCGATTACTAGGGTGAGCTAACGATTTTGCTCTTATCCTTCGACTTTTGACGTTTCGCTTCGTAGCGTTCAAGGTCGGATGTTCCGCACGCCCAGATGGAACTTATGGCTAGTGATTCTAACAACATCATGGCTATTTTCCTAGTGAAGACTATAGGAAGGATGCGAAATTATCGCAGCCAAAAGTTGGTTTTGTCGGACGATATCGGACAACCTACTTTTGTTGGGTTATCCTTGTTGATCCCAAGGGGGGGGATTCGTAATTGCATATTCTCTCTTCGTATGCTTCTGTTCGTGTTGTTATTTACGTTTATGTTTGTTTGTTTACTTTTTTGCTCCGCGCAGCTTTTGAAGCAATACCGGTCTGCATTACTGAATGCCACCCTGAAACGACCAGACATGGCGCCCAATGACACTGGTGCAGCAGAAGGTCGGTTTGCTCATAATTACTTCCACTTCACTTCTTTATGTCCCTCTTCCTACTCCTCAAAAGTTGGAACAGTTCTCCGCCCCACTCAGAGGGTAGTTGTGCAGACCATTCAGAGCACACTCCTTCTCGATTGCCTTTAGACAGTGCGGTTTTT